ATAGGCTGTTGGTCAAGAATGACACAAAACAGACGGACTTGACAGAGAAAAACTATACATACAGCAGTAGTTCACATAACTCACTGGAAATTAGCAGGTCATGATACAGAAGGTTTTGGAACGGGTTGGAACCAGTTTCCTATCTCATGATCTGTAGCTTAATCTCATTTGTGTCTGTAAACGTTGTGCTTTACGGATAGGTTACGAAGCAAACGAGATTTTCTATTTCCATTAATAGCAACTTAAATTTCTTTAAGTTTTTGTAGAGTTCAGAAGAATTGGAATGTAGTCATATAAACTACCTTATGGTTCCTTTATAGTGCTTTTATCTCATTTTAGGAGTTTGACAGACCCAGTCCCCATTCACTTCCATTGGGAAAAAAATGAGGGTACATTCTTCAAAATAACTCTTTTTGGGTTTCACATTAGAACAAGATAAAAAACAGGTTTACACAACTTGCACTTTCTTGCCTATATTTTACTTTCCTTCTCCTTTTAACTGAGATAGATATGTCGACCTTCAAACACCCTGAGCTTTAATGAAATTTAAAATCTCTCTTTACATCTGTCTGTTTCAGAGCAATAATGACCTGCGAGGAAATTACCAAAGACATCCTTCAAAAGTGTCTCTTTTGCCCCAGAATCGCCCTACATGCTCTCTGTTTCACTTTCTCGGTTTCTCACTTTCTTTAAATTAATTATATAGTTCATGCAAGGCAGTTTCAATCACACAAACAGTAACTGAACACATACTTTACACATACCGTTTAGTTTATACTTTGAATCGCATGTTTGCTTTTCCTGAAAAGGCTTACATACACACATGCTCACACTCAAACACTTGCATCCCATATACAGGGTGTGAGGGAAAAAGCCCATTGTTGATGAATGATTGCTATTCTGTGATCATTAATCCTTGTAGGCTCATGTACCTAAACAAATGCATCACAACTGTCACTGTTAAAATACAAAACTATGGCATTAACCACAAATTTAAACCAACCTCAGAAAAAGCGAAATCTCTAGCCAGCAGCTTTATGCATATAAATTGGACATTAAACATTATGAAACTGTGAAAGAGGACAGAAATTAAAATTCTTGTTTATTTACTCTTTCGCACACATCTCTGTCCGTACCTTCACAAATGCATCTTTCTCTCTCTGTCATGGTTTCATTACAATGAACAGCAAATGGGCTTCACAGCTGCTGTTTTGTGGGAAGACACAAGCCAAGCCACGGTAACAAGGTTAAGGATATGTGGGCTGGGAGATACAGACAGAGATGAGGGATGTGTGATCTTTAGATCTATTCTTGCCTGAAGATTGCCCTCATGTTCTCTAAGAAGGAGACACATTTCTTTTAATCTGTCGGTGCCCACTGTAGTGCTGCCTACATTCTCCCTATCCAACACTTCATCTGCAAATAATTCATCTCTGAACAACTATAAACATCTGAATATCCTATAGTGAACATCGTTAAAATGACTACTGCAATTTGTGTACAATGCCTTGCCTTAGATATAATGACCTGCGCAGTCCAATCCCACAAGTGACATTACCACCAACATTACAAAGAAATAGCCTCAGCCCCTGAAAGCACACACAGAATGCCCACATTCTGCCCCCCCCCCCCCCCCCCCCCCCCCCCCCCCCCCCAAAAAAGGCAAAAACTTGCTGAAATCCCCTACTCCAATCTGATTGGCTGGCTTTACGTATAGGCCGTGAGACAGAGGGTTGATTGGTACCATTTTGAGGGATTAAACCGCATGGTGATTTTTGTGTAGGTATATGACCCTGTATTTGAAAAATGTGTGATAGCATTAGATTCAAGGTAGTTTTTGGTTACGGAGGACGATTTTCAAAAATATGTCAAGAAAAAGGATAAAGGAATTTATCTTTAAATAAATTTTAAATTTTATAAATTTTTATAAATTTTTATAAATTTTTATAAATTTTTATAATAAAAAAATAAAAAAAAATTTGTGAGGACAGTAATTCTGATAACATGCATATTATACATATTATACTATTTTATCTCTATAGCCTGCATCCTCTGAACAATCTTTGAACTTTCTATCACAGCACTTCTTATGTTACTTGATGACCTGCTCTGTTGTATTCCTCATTTGTAGGTTGCTTTGGATAAAAGCATCACCTATATTGAAGAAATGTAAATGTGCCTCTTTTAGGGCCCTAGGACACAGTGGTGATTGCAGTCAATGTATGCGTCATGCAGAATTATTGAATTCATCTGTCCATAATGAAGGCTCATCAGGGAAAGGGGACTAAAGAGCATCAGCATCCGAGACAGACAAACAGTTACTCCCACACGACTCCCTGTCCTATCTGGAAACACCCTAAATCGTCCTCTGAACGTCACAATTTGTACTGCCACCAAGTGCTCAAGGCACTTACCCCAGGTCATAAAACTGCAGAAACCTTTTAGTTAATCTGCCTCTTCACAAGTGTTCAAAGAAAACACCACTCTGCATAGCAATTTATAGCATAGCTTTCGACTGTCCTCTTTTCCCACCAAACCTCCACGGCAGTGATCTGCAGAATAAGAGGACAAGAAGTATTTCAGAATGTTTTCATCCACTTAGCAATGATAAAAAAAAGTATCCAATGAAATGGCTTGACAAATGTTTTATTTCCTATTGAAACAGTACGTTTTGGACAGTAAGTGTCAAATAGGCTTTTTAAAACATAATTTGCTACTTGCTAGTCAGTTGCAGGTTTTATTAGTGGGACGGACATTCTCATTCCAGAGAGCATTTGATTGGACAAAAATGTGTGCAGGAGGATGAGTCATCAATATTTTTTGTTTCATTTTACCAAATGAGAGAACCAACACAATGCATCTTTGCTGTAAAAGAATTGAAGTTGTAAATAAAACCAAGAGTCCATTTACAAGAAAATACAATTTCTGTTTTTCTTCTTCAAAATATCACATTTATTTCAATGTGTTACTGGCCATATTTCTAAATTACATCATGTGACATGTATTAGGACTTTCTAAATTAGTAAATCCTACACCAAGTTTTACAAATGTAGATTCAACACCAAAGCCTTGCTTAACTCTTATTTGTGCTTCAAGCAAACATCCTTCATAATCATAACTGCATGAATAGCTGTGTGAATCATGGGTGATTAGGCTCCTGCTCCTCATTAACTGCACTTTAATTGGAGATGTTCTGACATCATCACTGTCATAATAAGACTTATGCTGCATCTGAAATCGAATACTTCCCTATAGTATGCGGAAAACAGTATGGCAAAAAGTCCCCAAATGACCTACAACTTCTGAAGTGCGCATTCAATGGACACTACTATCCCATGAGGCCACGGGAGAGGATTTATGAAGGGCAGTGAGGTGACGCAACTGACGCTGGTAGGTCACGTGACAATAATGTAGTACGTCTAAATTTCATTCATACTACCCACACTCACACTATATAGGACTTGTTTATGGTCGCGAAGTAAATTCATGTTCAAATGTAGTACCTACTCATGTGATTTTGAACTCAGCTTTATTTTCTATAAGTGTTTAAGCATAACAAGTGAGATTTAAGTATTGTGTACAAACCTTTGTCCGCATCTCTGGTTCTAAGTGACCACATCTGGCTCATGAAAAGCGGTGGTTGCTTCATCATTGTTGAAAACATTGCAGCTGAAATAACATGGATTAGTACAAGTTGCGAAATTTGATGGCATGATTTTTTTAAATGTGCAATTAGGTATGTATTGTAAACATTTTACACCAAAATCAGAGTGTATTTTGCAGTTTGAATACTTACCCCACCTTGCACTCTATTTACTCCTTTTCTCATGCTCACACACACAAATGCACATTCTCTATTAGACACACACACATTGATGCTCAGGATAGATATAATGCTCAGTTGTGACCCCAAAGGTCAGCGTCAAATAAACAAGGTGAATTGAACATTTATCTGACATTGAATTCAAAATCTATATTATGTTCAAACTCATTATTTGACTTTACTCCATATATATATATATATATATATATATATATATATATATATATATATATATATATATATATATATATATATATATATATATATATATATATTACATTGATGATAATGGATGCCTGTTGCTGCATTAACATGTAATGCAGTGAGATCATGTGACAACAAAGTATGTGTAATTTATAGTATTTCACAATCACAGCAGTGTACTGTACATACTGTGCAGTATCAGTCTCCATATTCCTTTCAAGTATGTTTGGTGGTTACACTACAATTTGGACACGAAAGGATCAAAATTAAATACAGGACTGAGATGTGTCTCACTTTTTTTCTGGCCAGTTATTGATAGTGAGCAAGTAATGCCAAGGTTGCAACAACTATATTGGATTCAAATGTCTCTTGCTTTCTCATACACATGCATGCTTGGTATAAATCTGACTACACAAGTCCCTGTTGTCAGCTGACATTAGTTCAAGATCTGAGTGTGTGCACAAGCTCAATGCATTTTTCCTTAACTATATTAAATTTGTATTTCGAACATGACTAGTTCAAATTAGAGAATTTGTTAAACGGTTTCCCTTTGTCATTACCAACAATCGGGGTTCCCACAGAGAAAACACAAGTGAAAAACAAGACTATATTTCCAAAATGGCAAACCACCTATTGATTTATATAAAGCTAATTATTTATAACTACTACAGATGGTACAACTAAATGAAAACTTAGAATAAAAAGGCTTTGTAAAAACTTTGACATATATGATTAGTATGTCAACGTACAATGAAACGTAACGCGCTCGGTTGGTTCCAATTAGGGCGCGCGGCGCGCGTACTTACATCTACTGGTGCTAAGGTTGTTTTCATGTTGTTTAGGGGCGTGGCGTGCAGTTGAGGATAGGGAGGCGGCTCTTGAGCTTGCCAGCCTCTATATTGGGGGCTGGATTTAAGGAATGCAACACTTATCAGACAATCCTCATGACATTTGTGAGTCAGATCACCACAATTGAGGCACAGTTATGTGGACTACCAGAATATGATCCGTGTCTCTGAAACTTAAATGCATCAGTCCTTCCCAGTCTAAGTGTGCTCACTTGGGGACTCTGTGGGGATCCCGATCGGTTGCCTCTTACGCACAAGCAAGTGCGCAATGAAACCCATGAGGTAGCGCGCGCGCGCTTCTACATATACCCTAGAGAGCGTATGCGCTTTTACGCATGGGAATCACAGTTCGTTTCCAAACCCAACCATGAGCAACACGTCGCACCAAATCGCCGCGAGCAACGACACCGACCCGTACGGCAGGAACGAAGACGTGGCCAAAATGGAGATCACGGTTTTGAGCGTCACCTTCCTCGTGGCGGTCATCGGAAACCTGTGCGTGCTGCTGGCCATGCACAACACCAAGAAGAAGAGCTCGCGCATGCACCTGTTCATCAAGCACCTGAGTCTCGCGGACCTGGTGGTGGCTTTCTTCCAGGTTCTTCCACAGCTCTGCTGGGAGATCACCTTCAGGTTTTACGGACCAGACTTTCTTTGCCGGATTGTCAAGCATCTCCAGGTCCTGGGGATGTTCGCGTCCACTTATATGATGGTGATGATGACCCTGGACCGCTACATCGCCATCTGCCACCCTCTGAAGACCCTCCAGCAGCCCACGCAGCGCGCCTACATCATGATCGGGTCCACTTGGCTCTGCAGCCTGTTGCTCAGCACCCCTCAATACTTCATCTTCTCCCTGAGCGAGATCCAGAACGGCTCGGATGTGTATGACTGCTGGGGACACTTCATCGAGCCGTGGGGCATCCGAGCCTACATCACCTGGATCACCGTGGGCATCTTCCTCATCCCTGTAATCATCCTCATGATCTGCTACGGGTTCATATGCCACAGTATCTGGAAGAACTTCAAGTGCAAGACCAGGAGAGGCTCCCCACACAGCACTAAGAACGGGATGATTGGAAAGGCGTCTGTCAGTAGCGTCACCATCATCTCAAGAGCCAAACTAAGAACGGTGAAGATGACATTCGTGATTGTTTTGGCGTACATTGTGTGCTGGGCTCCGTTCTTCATCGTGCAAATGTGGTCAGTCTGGGATGAAAACTTCTCCTGGGATGGTAAGACGCCATAGGGTTACACATATTAAATGTAAATATATATTTAAACACAATATTAAGTGTAGCTACAAATTATTCGAAGACTTCCAGGTGGTCGAAGCATTTCTTTTAGTAATTTTCTGGATGCGAGCGGTTAAGGTTCGTCTTTTTGCGCCCCTAGTGCCATGTTTTAAAGATGTTTAAACAAAACGTGAAATATTTTTTTATGATAAATGTTTTGTGTAATTCTATAAAAACCGTAAAAAAATTGACAAACTTTAAGTTTTTTCGACGTATGCTACCGTCCAAAACGCACGGGGATCGGGCAGTTCTTGATATGGTTACGTGACGCGAAAAACCTACACATATTTTGCGCACTCTGTGTAACTTGGACAACGGTTGTAGTCACAATAACAAAAATCTACATTAGATAAATAACACATCTTTTTCTTTGATTTCATTTTGAGGGTTTTAAAGCCCATCATTCCTTTTCCTTTCAAGTGTAATTCGGTTTTCAAAGCCTAATTCTGGCATAAAACGAACCAAGTGTAACTACAGGCATCTCCAAAAAATAACTGCATACATGTTGTTCATTTTCCTTACTAATGGGAATCCTAATGGTATTTCTATAAAAATGAAGAAGCGCTCCTAATGAGACCAAACAATAAGAATTAGCTAAATAAGATCATACTGCATTTTGCTTCAGTGTATTTTTCAGAATTTCAGTTTATCCAGGAAGATCTTATCTGCCTCTGAGGGCTCTTTTTTGAATTCCATTAGCATTCCTTTGAGATTAAAGGATACAGGGGCTTGTATTACTGTTTTTTCATTATTGTCAGTGTTTATATACTGTACCATTACATAATGCTCCTTATATAAATCTAATATTGTTTTATTGGAAGTGCATCTTCCAATATGGATAAATACTTGTACACCACGGAAGGAAAAAAATGATTGATTACCTAATATTTTTTCTTCATAAATCTGAGAGGGCGTATACCTTTTATTCAGGAGAACTGCATAATCAGATTGCACAAAACTACAGTGCAAGATTTGATTATTATATGAGTCAAAACAGATTTCAGTTCAATGTTAGAGCTTCAAGAGAGAAAATACAAATAAAACACATTAAAAATGACAAAATACATTACGCAACAGTAGTTCAACCTGCAATCACAATTCCTAAACCTGTAAATGCATCAATTTTTCCCAGGTCTGAACCTGCAACCTTCCAGTTATCAGACCAAATCTTTAACCACAAGGCTAACGCCATCTTATTTCTTCTCAGATTCTGAAAATGCTGCAGTGACCCTCTCTGCCCTGCTGGCGAGTCTCAACAGCTGCTGTAACCCGTGGATCTACATGCTCTTCAGTGGTCACCTCCTCTACGACTTCTTAGGCTGTTTCTCCTGCTGGAACAAACCCCAAAACACGTTCCACAAAGAGGACTCGGACAGCAGCTTCAGGAGGAACACCCTCCTGTCCAAGCTGACTGCTGCCCGGACCAAAGATGGGTTCGACTCGTGGAGAGACCCGTGCAACTCCCGAAAGTCCAGTCAGTCTGTAGGTTTAGACTATTCCCGCAAATCCAGTCAGTGTTTGCAGCTTGACTGCTCGCACAAATCAAGTCAGAGCGTTTCTATGGAGCCCGATGGGATGGGGATGAATAAAGACATGAAAATAAATGTATAAGTATATCTAGTAAAACCATTTTATCACACATAATGAGGATTTCCTTACAAAAGATACAAATTAAGTGGTGCAAGTCAGCTCATTTTCTGCTTGTATATAGGTTCCTTACTTAAAAACTTGAAATATTCATGGTGGAAGTAGAATCATTTCATAATACCATGAATGAGAATCTACTGAGGAATGTTGTGTTCATTCTTATAAGTGAATCATTTGTTTTACAGCACATCATGTTGTGTTGTACTTTCCTTTATGGATAAAGTCTGTGACTTATTGGTGAGAACCTCAGCTTCATTTCTTAGGCTGATGTGTGTCTTATTTGTTTACATCGATAACACAAAGCTCGTTTTGATTGGGTGGGAGCAAAAGAGTGTATAAGTGTGTACGTTTCATGTGTCAGTTTTGTGACTGACAAATAAATATAATTTGATATTAGCACTGTATAACTTGAGCTGTATCTTGTATTGGTCGTGCCAATCTTTAACTGAGCAAAGTATGAGCTTGTCTGGTGTTTGGCGAACTGTTTATGTAAATGTAAAGAATTTTGTTGTGTCAAAAAACAGGTAAAGAGAATAAATCTCAATATATGTAAATATATAAAAATCTCAACAAAAGCAAATAAAACATGCGAATTACAAACTGTCTATGAGTGTGTGTGTGTGTGCACAAGTTTCAATGCCTGAAGCTACTCGTTTGGTTAACACATTACCCATCATCCTTGTAACAGACAGGCTGAAAAAATGCTTGATTGACAGGTCTCCTCCAGATTCAGACGTACTTTATTAGTAATAATGACACAGAGATCAAAGAACGATAAATATAAACTTAATTAAGTTGGAGAGCTGTGGGAATAATTATCCACAGTGGAAACCAGTGTCTGCAATCTTGGTTGCATAATGCAGAACCAGAACACTCTCTTATTACACAGTCTCTTTCGCCCTTAATTACACATAACTGAATAACGTCTAATGTATCACATTTTATTGCATTACATAACAAAATAATCAAACCAAATGGCATCTGAAACCAAATAATGCCTATAGAGTGCATTAGTGGCCATCCACTTTTTCAGCGGCGCTGGTTCAGGAAGTATTTTTCCCCCATTCATTTCTCTAATAGGGGTTTTAAAAGTATTTGTTTAAGTGTTAAACCGGGAAACAAGTCAATCAAATACGAGGTAAATCATAAGATTACAAACTTTGATTTGAAGCAATAAATCTGACGAAAACACAAAGGTACCAGAACTTAACGGCTTTAGTGAGGGAAATAACTACAATCCCATGAATCACTGTAAACTGCATAATATCTATATTAAGATAGTTAAAGGGGAAGTTAAAGGGGATGGAGAAATATAAACTCTTTTAAAAATGTTGATTATATATATATATATATATATATATATATATATATATTAAGTTATAAGTAACTTATATATAAGTTTATTGTAATAAAATATGCACTTTTGGCAGCTCTTTTGGCGCATTTTGCTTGTTTTGACTCTGATTTGTGGAATTTTATGTAGCCTACATAATCATGGATAATGTAGTTTTCATGACGAATTCCGCTGTCAAACATGATTATTTTAAGAATAAGTTGAAATAATGTGGGCTAAGAGCTTCAACAAAAACAAATACCATCGATTAACAACCTTTCAGCTCACAGCAGGCCTGTCTTTAAAGGTTTATCGTTAAAAATCAATTTCCTTATTGAGAAAAGGTTTAAAAAAAGCTTTTTTACTTCTGGAACCCAACTGTTGTGCACTATAGTTTTACTTAGAACTAACTTCACTTTCCTGAGTCATTATTGCATTGATTTTTTTTTTTACCAACTGGCCTCAAGGTGCTTTTTCGTGGATGTATGAAGTCAGGTATTTTAAAGTTCACAGACACACACACACACACACACACACACACACACACACACACACACACACACACACACACTTACTTAAAAATAAAGGTTCTTTATTTAGCATTGATGGTTGCATGAAGAACCTTTAACATCCATAAAAACTTTCCATTGAGTTTTTTTATAGTGGGAAAAATAAGTCCTTTAGACTATTAAAATGTTCTTCACACTATGAAAAATTACTTTTCACAGGTTCTTGGTTCTTCTTTGTTTGGAAGCTTTACAAGGATACTAGAAGAGTAACCACAGGTATAGTTGATCACATTTACTATCTATAATATAACAAAAGTCTTTTTATGAAATGTTTTGCTTAATAAATTGCATGTGATGTTCATCATAATTTAATCGACGTGCTTAAAAGCATCTGCTAAATAATACATGTAAATGAAAAATGTGCTTATGCTATCTTTATTTAAAATAAATACCACTTGGATTGATATTATCTAATGCAATGACATTTTAAGTGTGTTTTAGGTATTTTGGGGCCACTGATATGTGTGAGTGTGAGAAAATCTGGCATAACGCACCACTATGCATGTGAAAGGTTGATCCTTTACATCTGCTTCAATCTCAGTGCGGTTTACATTTAAACTCCCATCATCTCCCACAGCTTTCTCTTATCTGCGTAAAATGAAAACCCAAGTGGCTCCAATCTCTCAATCTGGGTCTTATCAACAGGTATGTTCCGGCTAAGCTGGTCACATAATGCGGGATTCGTCTTTGGATCTGAACACCACTGGCAAGCAATCAGCGTTTTATTATAGGATTGTAACCCAATTGATAGGTAATGTCAGGCTCATCTTTTAAACTAAATGTTGCTGACGGTCAAAGCCTGCCTTGTTAATGAGTCAAACAGGAAAGGTTCGTTGTTTTTTAGGCAGCAAATCTAATAACGGCAAGGGCCATGTGGACTTTGAAAGACATTAAAAATATAAAAAGAGCCAGGAGGGAGGTTCCATCAAAACTGGTGGTGCGCTCAAACACGGCACACACACACACACACACACACAGAAATAAATCACGCCAGGATATACATTGTAAAAAAGTACAAAACCTAAAAAGTTTCCTTGCTATATATGGTGAATAACTGTAATGGCATTTAATGTAATTTAACAAAAAACACAGTTAAATTGACAGTTTTGGGAAGAGAAAAAGAGCATGTCGTCTTTTAATTTACAGGTAAAAACCGAATATTGAAATAAATTGATAATTTGGTTAAATTCCATGTGTTCCATGTGCTAAATTAATATTTGATCATGTTTTGCATTGATACTGTGCACATTCTATTAAACTCAGTTGTGATTCATAATGTTGTTTCTCATTACCACCTTTGTTTTTATGGTGGTTGTCAGTATTATAAAGGTACAAAGGAGATTTCAGTACTATAGGTTGGTATATTAGTAAAAGAAATATAATTTTTTTTACTGTAAATATACTGTAAGTTAATTCCGTAAGTTCATTCTTGTAAAACCTTTGTTCTTCCCGTAACGTTCTAACAACCGTGACGTTTTAACAGTAAATTTCACAGTGCACTTATTCTCATCAAGAAGGCTAAAAAATGTATTTACAGAATTTAGAGGCTCACTCTGCCTGGTCACGCTTTTTCCAAATTAGATCCAGAAGGTTCTAGAGTAGATCCAAGGCTTATCTTAGACTCTTAAACTACATGACCCACAATCTGAAAGTTAAATGTTCATTGGCACGAACGGTCCCATTCATGAAGAACCTCGGAAAAGTTCTTTGAGGAAGCAAAAATCATTCTTTTATGGCATTGCAGTGAAAACCCTGAATGTTCCCATTACCTTTAATTATAGAGTGAAGGAGGCCTTTTCATGAAGATTTTCATTAATGTGTCACCTTCTCTTCAAACACTAGTTTTCTGACGTCACCAGGTCTGTCAGTGCTGGCAGTTTGTGGGTGTAATTGGGTTCGCAGCGAATCCCTTGTCCTCACATGCTCCTGAAAGACAAAGAAATGTTAGATTAGTTCAGGTGAAGTATGATGTAACTTTCTCTCTTCACATTGATTCTAGCTGTCTATTCATAATACACATTTGATCGAGGACTGGAGCTTTGGTTTAAAGGAATATTCGGGTTTAAGCATATCTGACATGCTGTAAATGAACACAGCAATGTTTTACTTCATAAAAATAAACACAAAAGTGTTCAGCACTTCATTTTCAATGGTGAACCATGCGTTGTCCATTGACACAAACACAACGCGAGTGTTTCAAGGACATCAAAGAACTTTACTCATTTTTAACACAATCAGTTTGTTTCTCTAGCTTGGCTCAAACCTAAACAATATGTTAAATTATTTTGCAAGGTTGCCAGAAAGGAAAGTGCATTGTTTAAGACAGGAAGTTTAGCTTACAGTTAATGGGGGAAGAATCCAAAATAGAACAACTTTCATTATGCAGAGTGACGACTTCCTACCGAGTTCAATGTCTACATACTGCATCCGTAATTCTCATTCATTGTAATGCCTTCCTCTCCAGCTGTCTGCATCTTCATCACCTCACATCTCCATATCTCTCCCACTCAACATGCTTCCCCTCATTATTTTTCACGAAATGCAATTTAGCCACAACACAACAATACAATCTTAAAAATAAAGGTTCCAAAATAGTTTTTTTGCAGCAATGCCATAGAGGAATCATTTTGGGTTCTCCAAAGAACCTTTCAGTAAACGGATCTAAAAAGAACCATTTTTGAACCAATCTTGATTTGTTATCACAACTTTTTCAGTCAAATCAACAGAAAATGAACGTGGTTCAGATCAAATTTTGAGTTTCTATTTATTAAACCAATCTCCATTGTATTAACTCAAATTTTTAATTTCAACAAACTCAAAATTTTAAGGCAACCAGGTAACTTAATTTTAAGTTAAACCAACAATCATTTTTTACAGAAGCCTATAACGAACCTTTTTTCCAATGGATGTAAAAGGTTCTTCGTGGAACCATTGGTCACAATACATTTTTAAAAGTGTATTGCGACATTGCAAGAGCCAATACATTTTTAGACCCAATACGGTCATCCAATCGTTCAATTTTTGCTCTGTCATGAAAATGATTGAAGGCGTCAATAAAACTGGAATGTGAATACTGAGAAGTGAAACAGTGAAACTTTCCAGTGCTCGGAACAACTAGCCTAGAAATCTAGACGCACCCTAGCGGCAGCGAAAATTATTTGATGTATAATTTTCATACATCTTGATGTAGGTCTGGCATGCCAGGCTACGGAACAACACTTGTCCAATCAAATCAGTGGACAAGAACAAACTGTGTAAATGACGTTTAAACTAATGAACAATTCCTCTCTTCCGGCATCCCTCGCTCCATTCCTTTCTCTCTCCGGCAACCCCTCGCAAGTGACATCATACTTGCTCCTACTTTTAAAATAAGAATAGCCATCTCCATGTTTATTTTTCCACAGACTCCCAGCACTCTCTGGAATATTGTGTAACCATTCATTCCTTTTCTGCTGAGTTGCAAACGAAAAAGCATGCGATTTCATTATTTCAGTATTAGGCTATTCAAGAACAGTTTACATGCTACATTTGTCACTTACTTTATCTGTTCCTTCATTGTCATTCATAAACTTCTGAGGTAGCTCTCCTATTTCAAAACACCAAGAAATAGTTAAGGACCTGGAGACAGCTTATCTCTCTTAATCTTTCTAACATCAGTGCTGGAAATGTAAACTGTCATCACTTCGGAGAAGATCTGTCTAATTACCGCACTAATTCATTGTTCTTTTTCAATTTCATTTTTCATATGTACACAGCATGAATCAGTTTTTCAATTAGCCTACGACAGCCAAACCATATGTCACTAAAAATTCTGTTCTTATAGTCTCGATGTTTTCTTAACTCTGAAGCAGGGGCGGAGCTAGACTCTCGGTACAGTGGGGGCGGAGCTTCATCATGCTCTGCTACCAGTGGGGGCGGAGCTTCATCATGCTCTGCTACCAAGTCATTTTAAAATTAAAAACGTAAAAAAAAAAGTAAAATATCTGATGAATGCATATGTAATAATGTGTCACTTGTTGAGCCAAGTTAGCCTCGTGAGACCATCCTGATCTCGCGAGCTTTCAAGGTTTCACTCGCAGATCAGTCTGGATACTTTCCGTTAAAGAAAATTTGGGAGCAGTTCACCAAACGAACGTCCAATCAGCGTTGGCTTTGAGGCGGGTTGAGGTGTGACGCAACGAGAAGCGCGTCAGTTCAGTCTAAAGAACATGTCGGCTTCAGCGGATGAAACTAGCATCAGCGTGGCTATCGAGCAAGTTTTATCGGAATTACAGAGTATTTCTTCACTGAAAGAAGAGCAAAACACTGCTCTGGAGGCTTTTCTCAGAGGAAAAGATACGCTCTGTTAGTACGTCATATGCTTCGTTGATCTAATTGGTTGATTTGGCCCGTCTATCACCAACATAGGCCAATCAGCTAACCAGTATTTTCGCCCCTTACCAAAACTACTTCAACGGAAGGTTTCCAGATGGATATGCGGAGCAAATCCATCTGGCGGAGTCAGGTTAGAGCCAAGTAAGCTTATATGTTAAATAAAACACAAAGGCTATCTCATTCTTTTCAGAGAACAGTCTGTTTTCTTTCGTTTTGAATTGTTCTGTAAAAGTACACATTTCCAGCTTTCTATAGATATATTTCTCAGGTGTGTGAGGCAAGTAGGCCTACTCTGTGTTTCTGTTCATTTATGACTCACAAGACGAGCTCCAGTTCACGCGCCGGCGCGATTATCTATTGTCTGCTATATTTACTTCTTATTTATTAAACCCAGGCAATTGGTTGATGAAACATTGATTAAAATTAAGATACAATTAATACAAAACGAAATTCGCCTTAATGAATGGCTTTGTACTTTATGTTTGATGTCTCTGGGAAAGTTCTTTCAGAGCGCTCACGTCCGTAACGGGGAACTGTCACGTAACAATGTTTTTCCCTCATAAATGCGAACACGAAAAATAAGACAAAATGAATATTTTGTTCTGTGGAGAGCCAGCCCTTCTTCATCCGGTGGGTATTACTTTTTGTACTTTTGCCACCTAAACTTGTACTTTTGCCACCTAAAGTTTTTTTGTGTCACGTCCGTGTATTTCCCTCATATTAAATATAAAACGCATGTGTAGACTGATATTTTTCTAATGTCTGGACTCCTTTATTAAGGAGGATAAACAGACGTTTCAATATATTGGTATTAAATGCATTTTCTGAGAATTTACATTTCAAGTTTTTTACCAAATGTCACGTCCATAACGCTGGAATTGCCCAATTTTAAAGAGATTATCCTCAACTAGTTTTGTGGTGTAGTGTATAGGTCTACGTATTTTATAATGTTAACTTCAAACAATAGCCTACTAATAGTAATTTAAAGATGTGGTAGCATTGGATCTGGACGGGAAGGATAACGCTGGGAGTTGGAGTGTCGCGATTCCGCCTTCTCACTCACATTTCGGTTTCATATCGCATATCAGCCATCATTTCTACTAAAGAAAATGACAAAAAATAGTAACGCACAGTAATTTGGATCAGTAATTTTAATCTGATAACTGGTTTGGAAATAGTAACGCGTTATTACTCGTTACTGAAAAAAGTTACCGGCATAACTGCTGGCGAGGGCCCCGTTCCTGTCCAGTGACGCAAGATCGGCGGCGTTTGAGGGGCCCCTAATTGGCACGGGGCCCTGGGGCAGCCGCACCCAAGCACCCACGCTATCTCTGCTACTGCTCTGAAGGTATCCTAAAGTGTCGTAGCCTATATTTTTTTATTTCTCATAAAACTTTAATAAAAGTAAGTAGGCCTAATGGATTTAGTAGCATCATGGAACAGCTCGTTGTCTTGCACCACCATGTAAATGCCATTTACATGTAAAACACTATTTAAAGGGCCTCAAATGTGCTTTTGCATGTGCACAATCACATCTACATGTCTCAGAAAAAATCGTTTGGGTAGCAGAACCTTAACATGAACTGCCTTAACCTTGCACATAAACACACAATGTCGTCACAGTCAAATTGTCCTCAGGCAAAAAAGGGTCTTTTGGTTTTTATTAAAGATAAAATTGTTTTTCTGAACGAATAGCTTTCTCTAAACCTATTATGATCCATAACGTCTAGCGTTTATGGCATGTCTGTAAAATCATTCCTCATTTGCTATGCCTCTGAAAACCATAAACCCTCATATAGCCTAGCCCTAGACTTTTACTGACCTCTAGCTTTCACATAAGATATTACAGCTTAAACACAGTTCGTGAACTTTAGATAAAACTTGTTGGATAAAAAAGTAAAGATTAAGGACAGTGATAGCTACCATATTAGCATTGTTCAAATTTTAAAATCAATAACCTACCTGTTGCACATTCACAATAATTATTAGATTTCAACAATTCTACTTCTTTTGTAATTTCTATTTATGTTTTAATGTCTACCGGGACTCATTTGTTACAATAAAAAGAATATACATGTTATAATGCATCATAAATAGGCTACATTGTATTTAAACATTTATTTTGTTCTGTCTCCATGACTGCGCTATACTATAAACAAACAATATATTGGATGGATCTATATGGAGAGATTTATTATGCTAGTAGATTGTTTTAAATGCATTAAGGGCGTTTTATTAATTTATTTAACAGTTTACAGTACTCATTAAAATAATATTTTTCTCATGATATGCATCTGTCGTATTATTATTTATTGTTTTGTATTTTACTGTAATTTTACTGTCCCCGGCCCCTCCGGGGCTTATTTTTTATTCGTAAAAATATGGGAGGAGCCTAAGAACCACAAACGGCTCTGATTGGTCGAGAATGCACCACTTTTTGATCACGTGACATACGTCAAGCCAATCACAGACGAGTTTTCACGCACGGGGAAGTGCTACGAACTGTTTGCATGTAGTCAGTCTTTACTGCAATGCAATTGTGCATGTGCAAAATCAAAATTCTATGATAAAATACCTATAACCCATTATGATTAACAAGGGTCCTCTATGGAAAAGAGTGCGGTCTTACGCTGGACCGGTTCCGAGAGCGAGGCATGGGCACCGGGCCGTGGCCATACGAGAGCTGGTGGTTGTGTTTGGAGGTGGAAACGAGGGAATAGCGACCAATCTGCATGTTTATAACTCTGGTAGGGCACTAGATAAACACCAACTGCATTAATGCTACAGAGTACAGTCAATGCACTGTTAAAAACAACGAAATGCATGCATAATTCCCATATAAATATTCAGACGTGACTTCAGATTTCATGTAATTCCCAGCAATGAATGCACTGGATAACTGTAACAAAATTTTGGTTAATATACATTAAAATAGTTAGAAATGCCTCTAAACTTTGATTAATTTTGTTAGTGTACATTAAAATAGTTGGAAATGCCATGAAACTTTTTTTTACACATATTGAAACTTACTAATGCAAGTCATAAACCTTTTATTTTAGTGACCAAGCAGTGGTTCCTACCAGCAGTGAGAGGTGATATCCCACCTGGTTGTGCCGCTCATGGCTTCGCTTGTGAAGGCACACGGATCCTGGTGTTTGGTGGGATGGTTGAATTTGGCCAGTATACCAACAGTCTCTATGAACTGCAGGTGAGCACTTGTGCCATCATAATGTAGTCATCCCTAAATGAAAGGTGCAGTAAGCGATTTCTAAAAAAGACACTGTTGATATTTGAAATCCCCAAAACAAACACGCCCCTACCCAAAAGGATCACACCCCTATCTTGATAGCCCCACCCGCAAATTCACAAACACACTATAGGCTTGTTCGACTTCATGCAGCTCTGCGCAGACCGATCGGCGGCAGACTTGAAGCAGTGCATGCCGGTTAGAAATTTTGTCCGACTTGATACAGCGCCGACGCCACGTGACTGTGACGTATGCCATCAAAGTACCGCGAGAGCGATTCGAGAGTAGCCGGAGAACTCAGCCAGCGCAGCTTCTGAAGAGCGGCTGCTCGGGGCTGCACGAGCTCTGATGACGACACAGCTGTTCCACGATTGGCCGGATTCACCGCATGACAACGATCACGTGCGTTTCGTGTTTATTCGGTTTATTCTCACACCTTTAGTTCCACTAAAGCTCACAAATCAGTTTTTTTATAACAGTAAACACTCTTTTCATGTAGTCGCGATGTATTGTGTTATGTTTATCAAAATAAAACAGATTAAAAAACGTTGATTCCACTTCATTGATAGTAGCTGTAGGCTTATGTTGAACTTTATTCTTGTTCAAACCAACGCTGTATGAAGCAGTACATAAAGTATTGAATGAAAATGTCTCTGAAACATCTGTGTATTTGGCAAATATTGCATTTATTTCACTTCAGCTGTGGTAAAGTATACAAACACCACGTGAGCGGTCACTACGGGAACCAGAAAGTGTCCGACTTCACGTCTCCGTTTGCAGCTCCTCCCCGCCTGCACGCGGCTACTCTCGCCGATCGCTTACATCCAGCCGCAGCCGATGTCGAACACACCTTATGCAACACAGGCACCTCCCCCTTCATGATTAGACACTCCCCTTACTGCTGATTGGCTACAAGTGTTTTAATGCTCGATCCTATCCACTTTCAACAGCGTTTATCAGAAATCGCTTACTGCATCTTTAAAGCATTAATAGTTTATGATGGTAGGACATGGTTTTAGGAGGGCCCTGATATCAAATCTCTTCTCAGGCCAGTCGATGGCTGTGGAAGAAACTGAAGCCCCGCCCACCGAGGAACGCATCACCTCCATGCCCACGAATTGGCCACAGCTTCACTCTTCATGCTAATAAGTGCTACCTTTTGGGTGGAATGGCCAATGACAGCGAAGACCCAAATGGAAATATACCACGGTGTGCATATTTATATGCAAATATTCATGCCAAACTCAAAAACGCATACATACTTACATGGATGATGTATATTTGTGTCTCTACGCAGGTATTTAGATGACTTCTACGAGCTGGAGCTGCAGGCCCAATCCGGGGTTAAAGGCTGGAGCATTCCTGAAACAAAAGGTGGAGGCCCGTCAGCCAGGGAATCCCATAGTTCTGTGATGTACTGTGGCAAGGGTGGCAGTGCCCCAAAGCTCTACATATTTGGGGGCATGTGTGGGCACAGACTGAATGACTTGTGGCAGTTAGACATTGGTAAGACCTTATTCATATTCACAAAATAATCCATATGACCTGTATCTCTATAAAATAGCTAATTTGGTTCAAGCTGATGTCTTAATTATTTCAGAGACTATGACTTGGTCATTGCCTCCAACCAGAGGGGAACCACCACTACCCAGGAGTCTGCACACCTCCAATGTGATTGGAAACAAGTAATGGTTCTTTTTGCTTAGATTTGCTCTAGAGACCTAAAACCAGAAAGATAATTAGCATTTTCATGTCAATTTGCATTTGAGATGTGACTCAGTGTAAGTTATATTGTAGGGCGAAATGCAAGGCTCTTCTAGTAATGTTAACAAAACCGCTATTCTGAAAACCCATTAGCCTCCTGGGTTAGCCTAGATATTGGCGTCATGACTGAACAGCTCTCTTGTCCCTTTCCACTTTTCAACAAAGTCAAGATGTTCAGAGATGATGATGTTCAGTCAGAACGGCTATGCCAAAGTCTAGTTTTGGTAACCGAACAGCATCTTTATTTTTCCTCAAGTTCTTTGTCTTCTTGATTCTTCATTGTAGGTTATATGTGTTTGGAGGATGGGTTCCCGTCGGAGAGGCAGAAGAGACTCTCGCTGCTGATGGAGTCAAGTGGATCTGCACCAACTCCCTTTCCATACTAAACCTTGGTATGATCAAGAATATTACAATGATCCTGCAGCTAGATAATCTCAGAAATCGTTTCAATAATAAGCACTTGTTTTCTCTTGGTATGGTTTGCTTACTGTAGACACACTGACATGGCATAACCTGACACTGGAAGAAGACCAGCAGGGATTGGCTTCAGGCGTACAGTCGGTGGAACAGGAAGAGGGCAGTGCACACTGGCCCAGAGCACGAGCTGGGCACTGCGCAGTAACCGTCGGCACTCGTTTATATGTCTGGAGCGGGCGAGACGGATACAAAAAGTACAATAACTACCAAGTCTGCTGCAAAGATCTGTGGTACCTGGAAACAGGTGAGAACAGACAGCTGGCCATCATTGTCGTAACAAAGTGCACTTTTGGACATTTCAATGAACATTTGTGTCATTTGTGTGCGTAGAGAGGCCTTCCACTCCTGGTGCGGTGTTTCTTGTGAAGTCCACCATCAGTATTCTGCATGTCGCCTGGCGGCCCCTGCCTGCGGCTGAGTGTTACTTGCTTCAAGTGCAGCCGGTCACGTCTCCTCATTCTGCTTCAGTTGAACCACAGTCCACAACAACTCCTCCACCAGACCCAGGAGACAGAAAGGAGCCTATGCAAAAAGGTAATACAACTTAAACATTCACAGGGTTCGTACAAGGTGCTTACAGTGCTTGAAGTAAAAGAAAACTCTTGGAAAACCCTTGAAAACAGTCATATTTATGAAAAGGTTCTTGAAAAGTGCTTGAATTACTGAAAGACAATAGGCTATATTACAAAATAGTTTAATTTTATTGATTAAAGAATCTTTTCACATTGATATAGAGCCATTTCAAATGGCTATGAGCGTGATATTGCTCATATAAATATTCAAGTGTATGATACAGCTTTTATTCTTCAGGTCAATCATATATTCATGGGAGAAAACAAATCAGTTTGAATAAAGAAAGCTGTATAAATTTGTCATAGTATTAATTGTTAACTTTTAATTGTTAAAGTTACCACAGCCATCGTATGTGCTGCACTTTATTTCTACCATTTTGTTATATTAGTTTTTATTTTATTTATCTATTTGAAATTGTCGAAATTATGTTTATGAAAAAAACGTTTTAAACTTACAAAAAATATGCTGCCAAAGATGTTTTTTTAAACTTATATTTTATATATAGTATGTATAATGTGAATATTATTTAAAGCTCCAGTCCGTAACTTTTTTAAGTTAAAAATAATCCAAAATAATTATATTAAAAAAAACTTATTCTGCCAGTGGTCAAAACTATCTGCTTGCCATAGCTAGATTCAAAACGGTTAGCTTGTAATAATGATTTTAATTCCAGTGGTACTGGTGGGTTTCCGCGGGAAATTCGAGCATGTCTTTGCGTCATGACGTCACACCCGTACACATAAAGAAGGAGTTTCGGCTAGCCGGCTATACTGCGCGTGACGAGATGTTTAGATGTATAGGCTTTTCTCGCAGCACTTTACATAATTAAACTTATGGCATCCAGAAAGATCCAAACAACAATCATCAGTGTCAACTGGAGATTCAGCAGTTATAAAACCCAAAAGACTTCGTACTTCGGATTTAAGGTGGCTAGAGAAAGAGAAAGAAACCGTCTCATGCGAACACAAGGATTTAAACATCGGCGGGGCTTTTGAAAAGTGCGTGAACTCCGTGTTTTGAAGGGGTTCAAAACGGAAGAAGAGACGGCTTTTTTCTGCTGAACAAGTAAGACATTTCAATAGTTCAATCGTGTAACAGTACGTTTTCTTAATTCACACAGTTATGGAGTTTCCTTTGTTGTGCCTTTCTCGTTTTGCTATTATGGAGAATATGAATTCTGAACTACGCAGGTAACCATAAAACACATTAAATTTAACATTAGTCACGCAATGCTGATGTTGTTAACATGAACAATTTGAGAACAAAGTAGGCTATAATTTGCACGGTTGCTGTAAATCATGTTGATTAAATCTAACGAAGCTTATCATGTCGAATGCTTTTTCCCCCTTAGTTGGTCAGAACAAAAATGGATTTTACTTACTTGTTCAGAAGACATTTTCTTATGAAAATTCTTATGTTGGTCAAACTTTCAAAAAGTGAATCTGTGATTCTGTATGACAGTATCCACACAGCGCGGTGACTGACAGCAGCACTCGCCTCAAAGCACTGTGTTCATCCGCGCTGTTTCATGCCGATTTACAACCCACGTAAAGATGATAATTCCGCGAATCACTGCAGTTACAGATTTCGAACAGAGAGATGGCGACAAAGAGGAAAAGACTGCTGCTGCTTTAAGTGTGAAATTATACATAATGGACTGCTGCTTTAAGTGTGAAATTATACATAATGATATATCAAATATAAATAAAAATTACACCCATTGCAATTAAGTAACTTTAACTAGTAATTAAAACTACAAAGTATTGTTTTTAAATAAAATATCAAAAGAAGTATATCTGGACAATGCTATGGAGTTCTGCCTATGCAATCTTACTTGATGTGATGAAGTAGTACGTGTATGTATGTACATATGTAATTTACCACAGCTGTAAGGTGCTGGAAAAGCGTAAAAATGCACCTTAAAAAATGCTTACATTTTTGAATTTGGAAAAGGTGCAAGAACCCTGTGTATATTTAAAAATATATATATTTATGTTATTTTCTTTTCTTTCATCTGTCTAGACTTCCAGCCAAGTGCAGCTGTCAAAGTTAAAGGAGAGAGAGAATCTTCATCACAGGTCAGATTTCTGCATTTTAGTGGAATCTATATATATCTAATCTATATGTATTTCTATATATAAATCTCAGAGGCCCCTTTCTCATTTCAGGAAAGCCTTTTGAGGCCAGAAGGAACGAGTGAGGATAGGGCAGACATTCGACCAACAGGGGACAAAGGTAGAAAAGCGAAAACTGCTTCTGGTATAATGTGCATGTTTTTTCCCCCACTCTTGCATTCTTACTTTTGGCCTTTCTGTGATTTACTACATCTAGTTAAGTACATATACCTGATGATGTATTTTTAATGTGCATAATCAAAGATCAAAAAGGTGTTTCCGTGATGCCATCAGACATGAATAAGGCTGGTAAGCTGAATAGTGCACCTCAGTGTCAGAAAGGTAAGTGCACACACACACACACACACACTCACTGTTTTGGTTAGCTGTTGCTACGGTTTCCCTCGCTTACTGTTTATATTCTCATTCACAGAACGAGAAATCTCTTCAATACCATCCCGACAGGTAAGAGTGTTACGTTGTGTCTCTGTACTTGTTGAGCATATAATGTGTATAAAGCTCCTAAAAACACACTCACACATTTCTTCTCTGTGCCCTGACAGACTGAAATTACAAAGGAGTCTGTTTGGTTTGATGTGGGTGTGTTTAAAACACTGTATTGTGAGGTTACACACTACTTCCTGCCCTCTGAGAATGGTGACATGGCCTCAATCCTGTCTTCCCGAAACTCTTCTGACAGTGAGGTTTGTCTGCAGTACACGCACCTAAGTGTAACGGTTTCCAGTTATGCGTCAGTGTGTTTTACGTCACCGGTGTTTTCCGTCTGACAGTGGAAGTTGCCGGGTCCTCATAGTTTCACGGGTCACGAGAAGCAGGAACTGGCCTCAGGAGTCACATACAAGTTCAGGGTGGCCGGACTGAACAGCCGTGGCCTGGGCGACTTCAGTCCCGTCAGCGAGTTTAAAACCTGCCAGCCTGGATTTCCCGGGGCTCCGTCTGCTGTGAAAATCACCAAGGTACAATCATTCTTCTCAGTGATGCCAAAAACATTTTGTGTTCAAAGTTGATTAGATGGTATGTCATCATTTCAGGACTCTGACTCTGTGCACATCACCTGGGAGCCTCCCACCTCTCTGTCCGGGAAGATATTGGAGTATTCGATGTACCTGGCTGTGAGGAAGAGTCGAGGGAACAGCGTGGAGCGACCCGGGGAGCTGGCCTTCATCCGAATCTACCGCGGTATCAAGACTTCATGCACAGTCAGTGAAGCCCAGCTGAGCAACGCACACATCGACTGCTCGGCACGGCCTGCCGTCGTCTTCCGAATCGCTGCCAAGAACGAACAGGGCTACGGTCCCGCCACTCAGATCCGCTGGCTGCAAGGTGTGCAAGAGCTTCTGTGTGTTCTCGTCACATGACATGACTTGCATGATTTTTCCCCATGTTGAAGAATTTCCTATAGAATCACCAAATAGCATTTGGGTTTTAAATTTCAAACCAGTTTCGATTTCGTGGGGTTTTAAAGTGCCCCTATTATGCTGTTTTAAAGGTTCCTAGTTTTGTTTTGGAGGTCTTCTACAATAGGTTTGCATGCATCCAAGGTAAAAAAAAAAAAACACTTAACTTAAAGAATACACTGCACATCTCCTCATTTCTCAAATCGTCTGAAGCTGGTTTGTTCAAACATTCAGTCTCTCTAAATCCCTCCTCTCCGTGAGCCTACCCTGCTCTGATTGGTTAGATGGCCCAGTCTGTTGTGATTGGTCTATCACTTACATTGTGTGTCAGAAACGAAACGCCTATTACTATATCTGAATTTCAGCTCCGGAGCTTCCTAGGCAGACAAACAATAACGATGCCGTAGTTTTTTTCCGTATCAATTCCAGCTCGAGTCCTCATCCTTTGAAGTCCATGCAAAGTGGAATCGCAGCACTGAAAACCGCTTCTTCTCGACATGTCGACAACACAAACTTATAGCCAACTTATCTTTATTATGGCATTGTTGATGTTTATTGGCCAAGTAAGATTGCCCGTTTTGAAATAAGTATTTTATGCTTGGCAAGGATGCATTTATTTGATCAAAATACAGTGAAAACAGTAATATTGTGAAATATTACAATATAAAAATAATTTTTCTATTTTAATTTACATTAAAAAGTAATTTATTCTTGTATTGTGGTGCTTAATATTTTTTGTGCAATTTTTTTTAGGATTCTTCGATGAATAATCTTTTCTAACATTATAAATGTCTTTACTTTAACATTTGATCGATTGAATGTGTCCTTGTCAAATGCAACACACAGTACAGTCCTAACAGCTGCTTGTGTCGTCCTGCAGACACGAGTAAACTGAAATCGTCAGTGACCCAGGCAGACTCCAGTGCTCCAGCAGCAGAGCCTGACACCACCTGCAGATGAACTCTCACCCCCGATGGATCGCACTGACAGCCAAAGCTCTAATACTTCAGGACTGCATTTTACTCTTTATCGTTACACAAGGCCTTTTTAATATAGCCCATTTAGTGACTCAAAGTGATCTCAGTCCACTGCTTTGATTGACTGTTAATGTCATGGCATTGTTTACACTGTAAGAGTTTTAGTTAAATAATACCCCTACTGGGTCATTATTACTGTTAAATCATGTACATTTTACTTTAACACTTTTTATACTGAGTTCATAAATATAGTTTTATTAAACTGTTGTAGCCACTGGCAACACTTTTTTCTCTCTCTTGAAATACCTAATCTGGTTTTTGTGAGCAAGATTTGATCACCCCTTAGTGGAAAATGAGCTACATCCCCATATATTAAGATGCGTTTTGTACCTTCTTTAAAATAGGTCTGTGTATTTTTAAGAACTACATAATTGCTAGCAGTTTGGACATAAACAGCTCCCCCAGAGCTTTGTTTTTTTCCCCTTTTTATAAAAGCCATCCAATTCTTACTCTAAACAGAATTTTATTGAATAACTGGAGGAAACGTTTCCCCTTGCCTTATCATTATATATAAAAACAGTGCAATTTAAAGGTACACAATATAACTTCTAACCCTCTAGCAGTTAAAAAAAGCGGCGAGTGACGCAATTTCCTACAAACACCATCCAGACGGGTCTAAAATATAAACACTTATAATAGGCTTACCATAGTGAATTAGGGTAAGACAAATGTTTTAAAAGAAGACTTGAGGATGTATTGACTTTGTATAAATTTAGTTGATTTTGAACAAAAAAAGTTACATAGTGTACCTTTAAATAGAATAATTCAGGCAATGATCAAGTTTTGTTAACATCACAAAAACACAGTCCTACATTTTGACAAAAACGTTTTTGGGTTATATAAATTTTCAGTGCATTAATGTATTATACGTAGTAATAGGTCTGCTTTATTTACCAAGTGCAATTAGTATAATCAGTCTTCTGGGGGATTTTTAATATCCCATTTATACAATTGCTTATGCAGTTCTACATTGGAGATTATATCTGAATTAATGTTCCATTAACATTTCACTAATCTAGAAAACTACAAAGAGTATTAATGCCACAAATTGCGCCATTTCAAACTGAGCTCTTAAAAACATCTATTTCTTCATTTACAGACACGTACACATTCACTTCCTATTTGTGCATTCTCAGGAACACCTAGTGCCCTTTCTTGATGGCAAATGAAACATCTGAGAAAATATTTGACCATTTTTAAACCAATTTTCCATTCATTTTGAACTGAATGTTTTTTGTTTTGTTTTATATATTTTTTCCACAACATTTCAGTCAAATATATATTTTTGCCACATTCTCATAATAGTCTTTTTGTATAGGCTAAAGTTTACTAAAAAGGGCATTGCAATAAAATTCATACATTCAAATGAATTTTGATCTTGACCATTTTTTTATTTTCTATAAATGTTTTTTTTTTAAAATATATATAAATATATACTTTTGAATGACTTTTTTTAAAGACATGCTGAACAACATTCAAACAAAGACAGATCACATGTTTATTCAAAGAATCAGCATAACAATGTCAGTTAATGAGGTTATTTAAGATCAAATGACATCAAATTAGAATTCCCTTACTTGTGGGAATGTAAATGGTCAATATGGCCTTGTCTTCCCACTGCCCCATCCCAAACTTTAAAAATGATTAAATACCAAATAAGAACCAAAAAAAAAAAAAAAAACCTCACAATTTGGTGTGCCCTGTACCAAGCAGACCAATCAAAACACACTGGCCTAAATATAACACTGAATTAATTACAAGACATCACTTAAGATCAAATCAGCCTCCAGGCAACAGGCACTTTTGCTCCTGCTCTGGTAACCAGGCATCTCTTGGTCTTCCAGCACTGACCTGAAAACTTTGCAAGGCAAGAGATAAGTCTGTCTGGAAACTGGACAGGCCACTAGATATAGTCGGCCTGTTCTTCAGTCATGAGAATTGTATTTGTTGAACGCCAGGGATCTAAAGGAGTAGAAAAAGAGAGACGGTTTAAATAATGAGCATAACTAAAACCTCCGGTCTGTCTAATCTTCAGTCATAAATCTGTGGGTTAACATGGGTTGGTTTACATACTAACCTGCTGGTATGAGGTGGTGTATACCATCACGTTCTGTTGCGTGCCATCTGCAGTGATCAGTCCTGCAGGCAACTGACCGGCTGCAAGTGAAAGTGAAGTGAAACACTTCATATTAATTCATCATTGAAACCCTTTAAAACACCAATAGCTATAAATAAGGACAAATCGAAGGGTGTGGTATGTTTCGATGACATCAAATTTTCTGAACAAGGCACTTGCTAAAGAGTTTGGATGTCTCGTATGTCAACACTGAAGGGAAATACAGCTATATGCATAAAATAAGCTAGATGAAAAGGTTTGAACTTACTGAAGGTGTCATCTGTTAGTTCTTCACCAAGGCCTTCGCTGACTGTAACCGGAGTGATGCCTTTCTCACCCTTCATTGCCTTGGAAACATGAACATGTTAGTTGTAACTTCCAAACACAATTTGTGCTCTAAAAAATGACATTTATGATGACACATGCAGGTATTGCTTTTGTACAAAATGACATTCTGCAATATTCGATTTCATGACATTTTATTTCTTTGTTTCACTCAAATATATGTTCTCTACAATTCTTTATATGGATGGACATTCATATTTTCAGACCATGATCTAGTTAAACTGGTGTGTGCATATATATGTGAGTGAGTGAATAATACCTCTCTGAACTTCTGCAGGTAGAGTTTAAGCGGCTCCACGTACATGTCAAAACCCAGGGTGGACATAGCAAACAGGATGTCCTCTCCATTAATGGTCTTACGTTTCTCTTGATGGCATCTCTCGCTGGCCTCAGATGTGATGAAGCTGATGAACTCGCTTACACACTCCTGCACACACTCTTTTGCATCCTTGGCTATCTGAGATTAAAAAGAGTTGATAAAAGGCCTTTACTTGTATTTAAGTTTAGGACACTCAAAAAGACAACAATTTCTAGCTGTTTCTCTTGGATATACGTCAATAGGGAAGAAAAGATTATCGCAACTCTTGTTTCATGTCGACTTTGTTCCCATAGTCCATAACATTTTAAGTTAAACTCCCTGATATTTATATAGGTTTTCCAATAACATGGGAACAGTGTAAGATGCACAATACAGAAGGAGCAACTACCTTTCCAGTCTGTGGGATGGCATTCTTCATGATACGGGCGACATTAGCGATGGGAAGGTAAATGTCTTGCTCTCGGAAATTGTCTTTGCTTCCGTTGCCATCCTCATGGTCATTAAAACTATCATCCCCATCATCTGCACACATACAATGTACAATAAACATGCTGCTTCTTATCTCATAATAAATGTTTTCTTAATTATCTCTTAACACAGGTGAATGATGTCCATGTCCTCACCATCCTGGGTCTGTAAGACATATGTCCCTCCGGTCATATACTCTCCAGTTATTCCTAACTGAGTAGTATCTGTGGTACTGCTGTCTCCGTCCATCTGAATAACCAAATACGACAATGAGGGTTGTGTTAAAACATTTATTACAATTACAGCTTCATAATGTGCAAGAATACACTCATGGCCCAGGAAAAAAACATCTAAATAACTCCCCAGAGTATGATGAAAAAAGATTATTATTATTCAAAAAAATAAAATAATGAATAGCATAGCACACATTGGGTTAAAGAATCATAGCATGTTAAATATTTACAAATACATATAATAATATACATTTACGAAATATACTATTATAGAATAAATACGTGATAAATGTGTGCAACGTGGCAGTGGATATGTTATTAATATAGTCAATAAATGGTTATATAATTATTTGTATGCATCTCTAGCAGCCCTTTGTTTTGATAGTCAGCTAGCAGGTTAGCATCACCCCAGCTAACTAATTACACGCATTTAACAGGAAGAAATAGCTCATTTGTGAACCATTTGGATACTTTAACCAGAAACTAACAGTCTTCTTTTATAAATAAACTTGATGTTTATTAAATGTGGTTAAATGTGGCTTCGGGGCCTCGCGTGCACTTAGCCTCCATCTCTCCACTCAAATAATCCCTTACCCATCCTCAAACATTCATTCTTTCAACACTTCCTGCATTTAACTGCTCCTTCGGCCCGGTAAAACCTGTAAACGCCTGCCGGTAACATCCCTTTCTACCCGTTAAACACGAGAATTATCGCTGAAGCGGATCATTTGACCAGAGCCACAAATACAAACCTGACTCGCGCTCGCGCTGCAACTTGATTGGACGGAAATGGGTCTGCGCGAGACAGTTTGTGCCCGCGCTTGTGCACGCGTGGATGTCGGTCACTAGAGGGCGCGCTGAGGAGATTGTCAATTAAAGCTACAGAATCCAGTGCATTTGGCTGCATTTCACTACATATCTTGTGCAAATGCTTTCTAATGACCTTAATCTTAAAACCGTTATTTTTTCTTCATTTGGTTTGATGATATGATAAATTCATGCGGCCTGTATACATGTGAATAATTATAATTTAATTTTATGTAGGCCTAAATAGGAGTAAATCATACTTCCCTCTAACGTCCTCTAATTTCCCATTCATTCCCCTTTTGCAGGTCTCAGGTAAAGATGCTATAGGGCTCAATTTGACATAGAAACCGAATGAGGTGAATTTCAAATTCCAATGCAGTCATATCATCGCCAACTGTGAAAACTTTCCCTTTTTTCTGCATTTAATTGCTTCATATTTTTACTTCTTTCTTCGTGACTGAATTATGCACCTATGGTAAGTTTAAAAATGCCATGCACAGTGAAGCAAATGAAAAAGTAGGCTAAATAAACACTAGAAAAATAAATATCAATCCACAAATAACTGGCCACAAATAACTGCATTTACCAGGAGTTTCCATTCATTTTATGTAGTAATTTTTAGCTGTACAGTAAAAACTCCCCTCAGAGGACACCAACACATGACCTTGTAGTTCTGGCCTAATTCCCTCTTGGGAATGGACACCTCAGAAACTACCTCTAATCAGCAGGTCCAGAATGCAAAATCACTCATGAATTTTAAACGTTTCTGCTTCACTCAGCATGCTGAGGACCTTGAATGCATAATGAGCGACTGCTTATTGAGGAGGAAATGTTGTGGCAGTTTATATCCATATAAATTAAGACTTAATTTTCAATTTGGGTTATACAAAATCTTCTGCACCCAACCAAGAAACTTAGGAAGATTATGTTCTAGAACATCTATGCATGTCACAATGTCATTAATAAATAATTAACATTGCATTAGGCTTTCAGTTCTTATCATTGATTAGTTTCCTCTCTAAATCTCAAAAGTCATTTCCGTGATTGTGATTGTCTTTGTGTTGTGTCCACACTTCAGCACAGGGGGGCATCGACTCAGCACTGTTTGCCTGAGGCTTTATAATCTAACTGGTATAGCAGGTTAAAATTCAATTAGCTGCGGGGTTTCTGTATTTGAGTTTCCATTTTATTTATCTATGCAGTGTGTTGAGTTATGGCTTTCTGTCTGGTGATATGTATTGGGCTATGTTTCTCCTTCTTTCTGGTCTTCCCAGCTTCTGCATTATTTACCATCACATACGGAAACATTTCCCACCAACCTGACCACAGTTTTGCAATGCATGCAGATTGGGATTTTTTAGGCCAGTAGTTCCCTGCTCTGATGAACTTGCTCTTGTTTATTTTTCATTTCTTGTCATTTTATTACAATTTTATGTAGGCTATATATGTAGTTATATAAAATACAATGTATACATTTTAGTAGGCTATTAACTGTAAAAAAAAAAATCTGTAGAAATTACAGTATTACTGGCAGCTGCTTGCCAGTAACTTACTGTAGTTTTAAATTGATGTTATTTACTGGCAACAGTTTGTTCAAAGTTAAATGAACATTAAACATTAACAAGTCTTTATCTTCACAGAATGATCGATTCACAGAATGATCTTCACAGAACTGTTGCCAGTAAATATACATCAATTTAAATCTACAGTAAGTTACTGGCAAACAGCTGCATAACTATAGCATTTTTTTTACAGTACAACGTACAATTAATTAATTGTTAGTAATAATATTTATAAGAATAATTATTATTATAAAACCTTTACAGAAGCTACAATAACTTTCATCTAAAATGCCATGTAATGATAAACAACAAAAAACATACAAATAAATAAATAAATATGATTGCTTTGTTTGAATCAGATTTACAATAGAAATAAAAAGTAGGCTAGAAATGTTCCACTCATTCACATATGCAATAACTTCGCTATTCAGTGGCAGACTTTAGTTTGAGATACAGGGCTGTGGATATAATGATATTTACCCTGTACTGTTGCTACAAATGTCAAACCACTGAATAATACAAACCTTAAGTTTAATTGCAACCCTGGCTAAATTTATAAAGCAACATAATACACTTTTGACCTCTTTATTGAACTGCTGATGAAGACAAACAAGTTTCAACTTTGAAAACTCATGAAAAGCGAGAGGAAATGTGAGAAATGATAGGTTAAATGGAAACAAAGATGAAAGCGTGGGCGCGCTCATTCAGAGGGGGCGGGGCTTCTCGACTGTAGTCTACTGTGCGGAGGAAGCTAGCGCACTTCAGGGAGATCACGGAGATCTTTGAGACACGGACGCAGGCAGCGAGAGCATCAGCATCAAACACAGACCCGCTATACGGGGCTCGGCAGCCTCCCTCCCTCCGTCCCTCCGGCTCTCCGTGCCCAGCCATGAAACAGACGTTACTGGACCTCATGAGGATGAGTAGGATCTGCCGGATGGTGCTGGCCACTTGTTTAGGATCTTTTATTCTGGTCATCTTCTATTTCCAAAGTATGTTCCAACCAGGTAGGACTTCGTGATGGTTTCATTCTAAAGGTTTTAAGATGCTCCTTTCCCTCTTTTGTAGCCCCTGACTTGGTGATTTAGTGTGGAAGAATGTCATTCATAATCAATGAGCTGTTTGAAAGAGCGCATCGATCATCAGCAGCGAGAGAGAGTCAGTGATGTTGCCTATAGCCTACTGACTCACATCAAAGCTCCAGCTCTCTGTAGCCTATCAATAATACCGTCCGCTTTTATGCATTTGAATCTTTTATTTATATGAAGCACAACGGGTAGAGCCCGGGTCCGTTGTTTAGGGTTGTGTTGTGTAGCCTAGGGATGGTCATTGTCTCCGGTGGCCGGTACAGTAGAGTCAGTGTACTGAATCAAAGAGCTGACACACTGTACAAACATCCATACATCCATACTGACGTACAGCTGACATACATCCACCCTGCTGTTTCTGTTCATAACTGTTGTTTATATTGCTTGTGACTTGTGAAATTGAAAGTAGTGTCTATCTATCTATCTATCTATCTATCTATCTATCTATCTATCTATCTATCTATCTATCTATCTATCTATCTATCTATCTATCTATCTATCTATCTATCTATCTATCTATCTATCTATTGTTGTGAAATTGAATAGAAAGTATCTATCTATCTATCTATCTATCTATCTATCTATCTATCTATCTATCTATCTATCTATCTATCTATCTATCTATCTATCTATCTATTTATCTATCCTGCAGCTCAAACAGTAGAGCGTTGCAACGGCCAAGGCCATGTTCATTCCCAGGGAAAGCAATAACTGATAAGATGTAAATTTCTATCTATCTATCTATCTATCTATCTATCTATCTATCTATCTATCTATCTATCTATCTATCTATCTATCTATCTATCTATCTATCTATCTATCTATCTATCTATCTATCTATCTATCTATCTATCTATCTATCTATCTAGCAGCTCAAATACTAGAGCGTTGCAACGGCCAAGGTCATGGGTTCGATTCCCAGGGAAAGCAATAACTGATAAGATGTACATTTTTTAGAAATGATCTATCTATCTATCTATCTATCTATCTATCTATCTATCTATCTATCTATCTATCTATCTATCTATCTATCTATCTATCTATCTATCTATCTATCTATCTATCTGTCTATCTGTCTGTCTGTCTGTCTGTCTGTCTATATTTAAAAATGCGCCCTCCTACGCACTTCCACTCAATTTCATTTTCCTTCAGTACTACGTCTGAGATTCTGCTGTAGACTTTTGTTTTCTCCGATCAAATTTTTGTAGGGCCAATCAGCGAACAGAGGGAGTGGCTGAGAACGATGACGTTGTGTGTTATTTTGAGTTGTAGTTCAGTAATGGCAGCGGAGAAAGATGCGAGCGAAGCCATTCGGTCCGTTGTAGCAACACTGCCGAATATTAAGAAGTTAAAGCCGGAGCAAGAACAATCTTTGCTTAGTTTTGTTTTAGCCATGATGTTGTGGCCCTCCTCCCCACGGGGTTCGACATACATCACGAGCAAACGTTAGCGATTGGTGGCAGATGCAGAGTGACTCTGGGCAGATCCAATAGTTTTAGACTTCAATAGAGTACCCTCCTACAAGGAAGTTAAGGATTGTCAATGGAGCGGTGCCAGACTCTCTGTACAAATGAAATGTACGAGAGTCTGGTAGAACCAGGCTAGGTTTGTCCATGTTTGACTGAAACATCCATCCATCCATCCATCCATCCACATCTACTAAAACACATACACACATCTGGAAGTTCTATCATCTGGAAGTTCTATTGATAGATGATGTTGGATGTATAATTACATGTGTTAGTCTGCTAGACTTTTCCATTGTCCTGCCCACCGGTTTGGTTCATCTTGTCCAAAGCATGTAGCATGTCACCTGCTTTTTTGGGGAATTACCATGCGCTGCGGATGGAAGATCCAGATATTAAGGACAATGAGACCTGTGTAGTAGTGCAGTAGTCAGTAACCGCTGTGGTCACCGGCATGGTGGAATGTCTCTGGAAACGGTGAGTCATCAGCGTCACCGGCATGTGAAGGTTCTCAGCAGTCCGCTGGAATGCCCATGTCATCATCATCTTACACAAACGGGATGCTGAAACGAGACGGAGGAACTGATGAGCTCATGCGCACTCATCCAGATGTTGTCTCCAGACCTGCACATGATGCTTCAGAGAAGATCATGACATGTAACACTCAGACTCACTTGTGTTTTATAGCGTCACTGAGGTTTAACAGCGTCCCATGGTCTGCTGGGATGTACAGGCATTTCTCTCCATGGTGGTACAAGCAGCTGTTTCTAAAAGCATCTGTGCGTCCCACATGCTTATGAACAAAATACAACAGTCTCCCTTATGCTCCGCATTGACTTGACAGGTGTTTCAGTTTCCTCTTCTGTGTGTGTGTGTGTGTCTATGGCCGCATGCCCTTGCTCTTTTGTCCTTTCCTCCCCCCGTGTGACCTGATTTTGCACTCTAGCCTACAAACATACCCCGAGAACACACTGGCGCACACACACAGATACACTCACATTAGAAAGAGCCTCAAGTGGACCTGAGCAGTTGAGTGACAGGGCTGACGACGTCATGCTCCGGTGTGTTTGTGATGAACAGAGAATGAGGACATCCATAAGAAAAATTCGATCTTTTAAAGGGATTTTCCAGGTTCAATACAAGTTAAGCTCAATCGACAGCATTTGCGGCGTAATGTTGATTTCCACAAAAATTGATAATACTATAAAATTATTTTTTGTGGTTATCAACATTTGAATTCTGTGCACAGATTTGTCAATATTCAAAAACAAAAGCCAGATTGCTCATCACATTCCTCCATGTTAAAGTTGTTTGTCAATGCTATCCACGTTCATTTTATAGCTCAATTGTCTCTATTTTTATTTCTCCTGAATTTTAGAAGAAACATCTGAGAAAACGTTACTAAAATGAAGAATAACTGAGAAGTCTTGATAAGAGCAACCTCTTGAGTGTGACAGCTTTCCTCTTGGCAGGACTGGAGAGATAGAAAAAAGAGGGAATTATAGGCGTGGAAAGGAACCAAAATGAGTTGTCTTAGAAGAAAAGAGATAAGGAATGTCTGCAGGGAGTTCAACATTCCTCAAGGGTTGGTTACTCAGGACTGGGACGAGGACTCAGACCAGCAGACCAAAGAATCCCGGTTCTTCCTGAGAGCTCAGATAAGGCCGTTTCTGTATCTGTGTGACTGACTTTCCCTGACGTACAGAAGTCTTTCTTTCGAGTCTGTTGAGGAGGCCTGGCATTTGATGTCTATGAATGATAAAGGTCACGTCAACATGGAAACAAATGACATATCAAAGCTCAAATCACACTGACTGTTTGCCGTTGCGTAAGTGTTTGCCTGCCAGTTCCAAGCTCATTGTTGTTGTTGTTTTTTTTCCGTGTCCATTTTTTTGGAGAGTGCATATGCAGGATATCCTGTTCGTGTGATCTTGGTGGGTCGGTTCGTTGTTTTCCAAGCCATCAGCTTACACACACCCACATGCTCAAGCTGGTCCCAGAGAGATTTGGACACTGGTACAGCTGCAGAATGAATATTTCAGAATACATTTTTATAATATTCTGTAACAATGTTACATGTATGTATATATATATCAAATTCTGTAATAATATAACTAATACATTAACTGCAATTTATTGAATTAATATTATAATAAACATAAACATTTTAAATTAAGAGTATTTTATAATATAATATTCTTTCTTTCTTTAATATATTCTTATAATATTCTATAATATTCTCATTTTATTTAATTACAATAATAATATTATACAAAGTAATAATATTCAATATGATATTTTTTTTGTAATAATATAACTAATAATACATTAATTTAAATAATATTATTTTAAGAATAGGCTAATATTATAATAATTGTAATAATTAAATAATTAAAATTAATTCAGAATACATTTTTATAATATATTATTCTGTAATAATTGTATTACAATAATATATACAGTATATATATATATACACACACACACACACACACAATATATAATATTAAATTCTGTAATAATATAATTATAAATTAATTAAAATAATATTATAGGAGAGATGTGGACACTTGTACAGCTGGAGTAACATTTGAGAATCAGTGTTATTCAGATACATACAAATTATACAAATGAGCTTCAAGCTAAATTATTTAGCCTTTGTAACATAAATGTAGTAGTGAGATAAGGTTTGATTAATGGGCCTAATTCACATTCTCTTCACTGCACTTGTTGTTATTGCGCTGAGCCTCGTGTTCGAGCCAGAGATTGTGTCATTGGAGCCCACCAAAGCAATTTGGTTGATATCCATCTGCTGAAACGGATTGAATTTGTGGCTCACACTTCCTGATTCGTGTTTTTGGTCGGCATGCGAACATCTGCTGCTATGAAACCTGGCCCACACATGCATGCCCTGATAAGCTTGTATCTTTGGAGAATGCCAACTGTATAGGAATACCCTGCATCTTCCTTCTTCTTTCATTTTGTTGATGTCAAAAGCCTTCAGACAGTCCGCCTCATGCTTTCTGCACATCTGTCCGCCTCTCTCTTGCCCTTTCCGTCTCTCCGTTGGTTAATTGTTGAAGCCACATGCGTGAGATAAAAGGTGTGCACATGTTTGTGGTTTATGAGTCAGCCCATTAGGCTCATTAAGCTCAGCTTGCACCGTCTGCGGAGTGTTGTCGTGGGAGGAGCCGTGTCTTAATGATGGAAAACCGCATAAGTGTCTTTTACCAAATCCAACATCTGGATGCCAGCCACCCGCCCGCATCTGGAGGAAGCTGGAAGAATGAAGAGATCTCTGCGTATGGATGATTATATCCCAAATCCCATAATAACTTAGCTTTTTTTAGGAGCCGTCGCTTTAAAAATTTTGGTAAAGTGAGTTTGTGTTGGGTGATTATGTGTTGCTCCTTTTTCGAATTTGATAATTACAGAGTTGTGGGGTCATGGTGT